CTACATCGCTGCCTGTTTAGCCCCGCCCACAGATTCTACATCACTGCCTGTTTAGCCCCGCCCACAGATTCTACATCGCTGCCTGTTTAGCCCTGCCCACCAATTCTACAGGACTGCCTGTTTAGCCCCGTCCACAGATACTACATCACTGCCTGTTTAGCCCCGCCCACAGATTCTACATCGCTGCCTGTTTAACCCCGTCCACCAATTCTACAGCACTGCCTGTTTAGCCCCATCCACAGATTCTACATCACTGCCTGTTTAGCCCTGTCCACAGATTCTACATCACTGCCTGTTTAGCCCCGTCCACAGATTCTACATCGCTGCCTGTTTAGCCCCGCCCACAGATTCTACATCACTGCCTGTTTAGCCCCGCCCACAGATTCTACATCGCTGCCTGTTTAGCCCCGTCCACCAATTCTACAGCACTGCCTGTTTAGCCCCGTCCACAGATTCTACATCACTGCCTGTTTAGCCCCGTCCACAGATTCTACATCGCTGCCTGTTTAGCCCTGCCCACCAATTCTACAGCACTGCCTGTTTAGCCCCGTCCACAGATTCTACATCACTGCCTGTTTAGCCCTGCCCACCAATTCTACATCACTGCCTGTTTAGCCCCGTCCACCAATTCTACAGCACTGCCTGTTTAGCCCCATCCACAGATTCTACATCACTGCCTGTTTAGCCCTGTCCACAGATTCTACATCACTGCCTGTTTAGCCCTGCCCACCAATTCTACATCACTGCCTGTTTAGCCCCGCCCACCCATTTGAGAGAGGCGAATGCGCAGGTCTATGCAGAAACCAAACGATAAAGTTGCTCTGAAACAACAAGATGCTGTGCAGTGCCAAGATGTGGAAAAACAGTGTTTGTGTTGCCTTCATTCTGAGTGAAAGGAAAGTGTGAATGAACTTTATTTTTAATGAAGATCCAGACTGCGTCAGTAAGAACTCGGTCCTTTGTTCACTTCATTTTGCGGATTTATTTACAAACAAGGCACAATTCGATGCGGGATTTTCAGAAAGATTGAAACTAAAAGACGATGCTGTGCGACTATATTGGATCTGACAGTAATGTCGCAACACAAGTGTGAGTAACTGTTTTTATTACGTGATCACTATTGTTTTGTCTGTTAAACAGATGGTTTAATATGAATATTTATGCGTTTTTAACCTAACATCTGTGAAGGATGTAGACTGTTAAACATGCACAGCTATTACCCAATCATAGCAGTGGATTGTAGACTTACTTCTGAGTCTACAATCCACCACACCTATTCAAACAGAGCATTCTGAAGAGGAGATCAAAAACAAGACAGAAAACATTATGTTGACAACATTATAAGTGGACCTCAGAGAACAGTACAAAATAAAAAACAGAGGCAGCTCATGACCCCTTTAATGCAGTAGTTCTCAAAGTGTGGGAGATCAGCAGAAAATAGCCGCAGCAGCGATCTAGTGCGTGAATGGTGACACCACCGGACACTAATTCCTCTGAAACATTTTGACTTCACACTGTCTTGACTTCACACCATCTCAGCAAGCCTGACATCGACCCTCACTATCGAAAAGTAGTGCTTCAGCGGACAGCATCATGAACTCGCTGCTTCCGTTCAACAGCAACAAAAGCACAGTGACTACACCGGATGCAACCATTGTCACGTCCAGCGTAGACAACCTAAAAGTTGTCTATGCGAAACATGACAGAGCGACAGCTGCAAATCAATTGCCAGATTTTTTTAATGGTTCAAATGGGGGCATTACCAAAAAGTTTGCGAACCACTGACTTAATGAATTGCAAAGCATTTGACAGGATTTTAAATCAATGTATTGAGAAAATGAATTGTTGAAACAACTACTTTTAACATAAATGGGGAATAATTTAAAACATTTTTATGTCCATCTACTGTGTCTTTATTTTCTAGCATGCTAGTTTCCTAATTTAGTGCTCAGTATGTAGGCCACACATTGTCCACAAAAGACCAAATGCACAAGGTTAGCACCGAGAACAAAGGAGTTATACTCAAACATTTATTGACATTTACACTGCACATTGCATGGATTTTAATCAAAGCTTCAAAGAAGTTGACTTTGATTAAAAAACCCTTGCTAGTCAAGGGTTCACTCTACACTGAACAGCATGGAAAGCAACAGTGCTGACAAGCTTAGCAGTAAAACTGAAGATATTCAGAAATATTTCCTTAGAATAACTACTTCGACCATTTACAGAGCAGTATCGACAGATTAAGGTTTAGAAATACTGACTTTTGGTTTTGGGTACCTGTATGTACGATGAGGTTGTGAGTTTTGGAGCGAAACATTGGTCCCTTCCCAAAGATGGACACAGAGTACCTGCTCTGTGGCGAGAGATTCGCCATTTGGTGTGAGTGTGCCACTCCAGGGAGAACTGTAGTAAAGCTTGTAATGTTTTCTCCACTCTTGTTCATCTTTGGACTCTGTACATTAGGTACGAGTTCATAGACTCTACTTTTTCCCTTGCTCAAACTACTTTTCTTTGCTGCTGTTGTCTTAAGGCCCTTCTCATCATCATCATCTTTTTCTTTTTCCTCATTCTTCTCGTTCATCTCATCCTTGTCTTTGTTTTCTGGTCCAAGCTCAGTTTGAGTGATTATGAAGTGTTTGAACTTTTCTTTCGGTGCACCCCATATTAGTACAAACCCTGTTGATGTCACATTGTTGACCGCCACATGCTCAATGGAGGCATCTGTTTCGCTCAACACATATTCCTGAGCGCTATTATCAATATCTGTGGGATGGTCTGTGGAAGAAGAACTGTCAGAGTTTCCTTTTCCATACTGACTGATGTTTGGGCCCACTTGAGTATTACCACCGTGTTTTATTTGGGAATGTCTGTTGGATGAACCATTGGTCCTGTTGAGAATTACATTCGGTCTAATCTTAATACTAGTGCCATTTTCTTTTGCAGGGGTTAAAGCGGAGTTTACTGGTTGGACAGGACCTCCTTGGTTGATAGTCTTGTTGTTTCTGATAATGGCTTTTGAAGGAAAAGGCCGTCTTACTGGTAGTCCCTGGTAGGGGTGCTGAGGTGACTCTAGAATTGGCCTCGTACGGTTCTGAAAAGGACGACGAGGATAGGAACCCCTAAACGGTGTGCGCCGATATGGCATCAGATCTGATTCTTTGACGCCTCTGTTTTTTATAGCAGTGTCTTTTTTCAGGGGGAATTTGACTGGCGATGGAGTTGGAGTCTCAGTTTTGAACTTGTGAGCAAGTTCAGGAGTTGAATCTTGGAATTGCCTTGCGGATGGAATTGAATTTAGCACTTCCTTCTCAACATGCGGTTCTTTTGCAAAACGAGAGGCGATGGGACTAGGCCAAGATGTATGCTTGTGTTTTTGTGTCTCTAAAGATGTGGAAGAGGAATTTGACTTAAAAAGCGGTCTACCTACTATTGGTGGAGAACCTAAACTTGGGGCTTTTGGTCTAGTTGGCTGTCTGGGGATGGATAATGAAAATGCCCGCATACTGTTTTTTTGAGGCGGTCTTTCTGCTGTTGACTGATTTCTTGTTGTATGTTGATTCACTCTCTCAGGTTGTGCCAAAGATTGTGGTGTAGGGAGGTGATGATTGTGTAGGGATGAAGGAGCAGATGTGGTGGTGAGGGGCTGGTAAAGTGTTGTCTCAGGCTCTCTCGTTGAAAAGGGAGTGGCATTCATTACATTTGCATTCTTTTCCACTGTCTCTTCATCAGTTTCCTCCTCTCCTACTTGCTCTTTCACACTCCTTCTGGCTTCAGATGTCTCCGCTTCAGGCCCTGTAACCCCCATTGCATTGACTGTAGATCCGTCTGTCAGAAGTTTGTGTAAGATATCATTTCCATTTAAATGGCCAACTATAACGGTCAGGTTTTTGGTCAGTGCATTGCCATCTGACATATTTCCATGTATCTTTCTGTACCCAACCAAAACCTTTCGAACACATTTTGTCCCATTAATATAGGCTGTTAGGTTTTTTTCTGTTGTAATTGTTGGCTCTTCGGTCGATTCAGTGACGTTTGTGAAGGGCAGTGGGGTGGCAAATGGGGTGGCTATGTGTTTTTGGAAGGTGGAGCTTGGACTGGCATGTCCGGGTGTCTTGACAGATTCTCTTCTAAAGTTGGTTTCAGCGTTTCCCTCCTGAGATCTTGTCTCTTTCATTGTCAGTGCCAATGGTTTACCACCAGAGACAGGAGAAGCTGAGTCTACATTAGCGTTTCTTGGTCTCAGAGGATACCATGTTCTTGACTTATTTGAAGAAGGCACAACAATTCCCCCTTTTGATCCTATCTGGGAAGAATTGAAATGTTTTATCTCTGGACTATAAGGTCTTCTTATGGTTTGTGTACCGGGTTTGGGAAGCATCCCATGTGGTCTTTTTTGCCCAGGTCTAACAAGTATGCCTGTTTTGAGTCTGCTCATATTCCCTGTTCTTTCTAGATTTTCAACCTTCCCTTTTGTCAATTGGCCCCCTTTGCTCAGTCCTTGCTTTTGCAGGAAGAGTGTTGTGTTTGTGAACCTTGGTGTCTTTTCTTTGTTGTCGTCTACCTGCACGGCCGGCGTCTCTGTGGTCATCCTGGTCACAGGCACTGAGGCATTCCCTAAAGGCACGAATGAAGTCAAAATATGGATTCAAAATGAACTTCTCCCTAACAGTTCAGCTGGAGAGGGAAATCCTGTTAATAAAAAGCTGGTGTTAATGTAACAGGTTAAGTCAGTTATCCAAACAGTTTCGGCATTGAGGTGGCCACTATCCTTATGACATCAGGAAGTTTTGGTCCCCTCTTAGTCCTATAGAAAACTGGAGAGGTTTAAATTTTCTGCAAGAAAGAAGAAAGGTAAAATATTCCTGAAGAAATTGAAAATGTGGCATTGCTGGTTAGAGTGATCATACTGTGTGTGTGTGTGTGAGGAGAGGTGACACAATATTTTATTCTTCACAAAAAAAAAAAAATCAGAAAAGAAAATGATCCAATCATGTACGTTTAAATGAGACTCTTCCCTTTTTAAACAAAACTCTGCCTCGCCACTTATAAAACTCAATCACAATAGCCTGAACATTTCAACAGTGAGGTCACTGGATTGTAAATATGACAGATTGACTGGGCTATACACAATCAGCATGAGCCTCACCTAAATTTGCATCATCTGGTGACTATAAATACATTACTTGACTTACTATGATGACTTTTCCTTGTACTCTCATTACCTGATGCATCCAGATGTGTCAGTTTTGTTGTGTGCTGTACACACTTATGCTTAGCACGCAAAGGTGCCTGGATCAAAAATACTACCTTAAAGCAGTCATACATTAGACGACGTATGTTCAGATCTTTCTTCAGATGAATGCAGATGAAGATTTTTAGAAATATAACCTCTTGTCTCCAGAGGAAACAGCCCTGGTCAGCACGTTGTGAAGAGTGATGTAAACACAGGAAGCTTGCACACAGAGAAGCACAGAGGACCGCCTCTTCTCTCGTGAGCTTCACAGCGCAATTACATCACCAATTATCAGATGAGCTCCAAAAACAGACTGCACGATAACTGATGTGCACAAATCAATTGTATGACTAACATGACTGTTTGCTATGTGTACGACAGCAGATGTTTCGAGACTCCACAGCTGACTATACCTGCTCATGTTAAAGACATTTTGCTTTTAACTGTAACAAACTTAAAGCCATGATCCACATAATTTTGTGAGCTTTAAGAGCTGTTAATAAGAATTTCTGTTCAGTTGCAATTCATCTTCATGAGAACTCACCAGGAGTTGCTTGTGCGGTTGCTGGCAGGCTCCGGATGCTATCTTTCTCTGCCACTAATGAGATGTAATACAAGCGGCCCGGCTCCAAGCTGTTGATCTGGGCTGAATCTCTTTCCGGCAGCAGGTTCATTTCTGGAAGTCTGCTCGATCCATCTGTCTGATTGGGTGCAACGGAGAGGACGTACCTGTCAATCTCCCCCTGTGCTTTCTCCCATTGGACAATGACTGATGTAGTGGTTGTCTTCACAACTTGCAAGTCTTTTGGGCCAGAGATCACTGTTCAAAAATAAGTCCAGGAATGAATCACTTGTTAAAAACGGACTAGAAATCTACAAAACACTCGGCCACTGATCCTTATGATCCTCCTGGCATAGACTCACATGTGGTGAATTCTGCTGTGCTCTCCGTTCCCATCATGCCGTCTTTCTCTCCGGTGATGCTGACCGTGTACTCCTGTCCAGCAGCCAGTCCAATCTGAGTGTAGGTGCTCAGTCTGCCAGTGATTTTGGAGCTTATTTTCTGATCTGTTTCTTTCTGTGGAGAGAATACTGTAAAAATCAGTGCGCCCACATGACTTTATTTGGATAAACCCAAACAAAATGCTAAACGTTAATTGCATTAATATTCATGTTTGATTGTAACGTGAGCATGTTGTGATATACTAAGTAGAGCCCTACCGATATATCGTTTTGCCGATTTTATCGCACGATATGAGCATGTCGCAGATATATCGTATCGGCGAATATGCCCAGGTCCTGAGTAAACGATGAGCGCCGCCATTACGCAGATGAAATGCTTCTAAATGGAGTAATTACTTAGTTTGTCCAGCAGAGCGTGCTCCATGGTTTGCTACTGACGACCAAGGTCACTGGGTCTGGTCCAACAACAAAGGATAGCCTGACTTCCTGTTTGTTGTTGCCACGTGTTTTGAGTTTGAGCTCCGTCAAGTTAATTCTTTATAGTCTATTTTTTATCTTAAAATCAATTTTATACACCATCATTTCCGTTTCTATAATGTGTGAATATATCCCCTATCGTATTCTACAACAAAAACAATCAGAGTGCCTTGTTATCACTAGTTTTATTTTGATTTCCCCTTTCCACTATTAGCTTATAGCCCGTTAGTATCGCCAGCGTGGTTGCTGCTAATCTCGCTTACATTACTAATACTCTATTCACAAACATTACCATTGTTTTACTCACTGTTACTTGCATTAATGGCGGATGTGTGTCTACCTTTGAGTGCAGGTGAAGACACGTTTGAGCTGCATTCGGTGCAGCTCAAAGCTGAGGGAGCGGAGAGCCGCGCTGACGCTTACAAATCCGTGGTAAGTATACAGCGCGCTGCTAACACTCCCACCACCTCTACTCCATGTGTTTCTCTGCACAGGCCCCGTGCACACAGAAGGCGATCTTCCCAGATGTCATATATCGACGAGGACACAAAAGGTTCAATAGACTTTTTGCTTTAAACGAATGGTTATTGTCATGGTGTAAAGAACAGAAACTGCTCTTTGTTAATAATTGGAATCTTTTCTGGGAGCGACCTAGGCTTTTTCGCGCTGATGGCCTGCACCCCAGCAGAGTCGGAACGGAACTCCTGTCGGACAACATCTCCAGGACGCTACGCTCCATATGACTAGTAAGCCAATTCTCAAATAACTGTTATGATGGCTTTTGTTCTACCCACTTAAATGATATAAGTACTTGCGGTGTCCAATCTATAAAGACTGTGTCTGTTCCCCGAATCGTGAGGTCAAAATATAAATTTAAAGCAGGCTCTACAAAACATCTGATCGTGATTAAACCAGAAAAATGCTAAATAAATGAACAAAAACAATTTTTAAAATTTGGGCTCCTATACATTAGATCAATCGCACCCAAAGCAGTTATTGTAAATGAAATGACTGAAACCTTGCTCAAACCAAATGATGATATTGGTCTAAATGAGTCTACTCCACCAAGCTACTGTTATAAGCATGTGCTTATAACAGATCAGACTGGTCGTGGCAGCGGTGTTGCAACAATATATAGTGATATTCTCAATTTTACTCAGAAAACAGGATTCAGGTTTAACTCATTCGAAATACTTCTGCTTAATGTTACACTGTCAGATATGCAAAAGAAATCTATCGTATCTCTTGCTCTGGCTACTGTGTATAGACCACCAGGGCCGTATACAGATTTCCTAAAAGAATTTGCAGATTTCCTCTCAGACCTATTGGTAAATGTTGATAAAGCGCCAATTGTCTGAGATTTTAACATTCACGTTGATGATACAAATGATGCATTTGGACTTGCGTTTACTGACCTAATAAACTCTTTTGGAGTCAAGCAAAATGCCACTGGGCCAACTCATCATTTTAATAATACGCTAGATTTAATTATATCGCATGGAATTGATCTTACTGATATAGATATCATACCTTAAAGTGATGATGTTACTGACCATTTCCTTGTATCGTGCATGCTGCGTATTACTGGTATTAACTATATGGCTTTGCGTTATCGTCCGGGCAGAACTATTGTTACAGCCACCAAAGACAGATTCACAAATAACCTGCCTGATTTATCTCAACTGTTCTGTGTACCCGTCCGGGCAGAACTATTGTTCCAGCCACCAAAGACAGATTCACAAATAACCTGCCTGATTTATCTCAACTGTTCTGTGTACCCATAAACACATATGAACTAGAAGAAATGACTAGCAACATGGGCACTATCTTACATACATTATACATTAGAAGCTGTTGCCCCCATCAAATTGAAAAAGGTTAGAGAAAAAATGTACTGCGACCACAGTAAACAGTAATACCCATTCTCTCAAGAAAAAAACCCGTAGTCTTGAGCGCAAATGGAGAAAAACTAACTTGGAAGTATGTCCAGCTAAGCTATAGACAGGCTCTAAAAGCTGCCAGGGCCGAGCATATCCGCAAACTCATAGAAAATAACCAAAACAATCAAGATAAATAAAGGTTTTTATTTAGCACAGTGGCTAGATTAACAAATAACCAGACGCCACCCGATCTAAATATTCCCTCAGTTTAATAGTAATGACTTTATAAATGTCTTCACTGATAAAATAGATAACATCAGAAATGCAATAACAAATTTGGATTCTACAGCCTCTAGTACTTCAGCTTCATTCACCGCACCCAAAGAAAAACTGCAGTGCTTTACAAATATAGGAC